GTCCCCTGAAATGCCTCTCACTCCTTGGTTTCCACAGCCTGGCCCTTTCAACCATTGTCATCAGCTGATAATTTCTTTTTTTTTTTTTAAGTTTATTTCAAAATTTAGAGGGTACAAGTATATTTCGTTACATAGATGAATCGTATTATGCCAAAGTCAGGGTTTTCAGTGTACCCATCACCAGAATAGTGTACATTGTACTTGGTAGGTAGATTTTTATTTCTATCATTATAAGTAAATACACCGCTCAACACTGAACAGGGTTGTTTTCACCAGAACAGCCTAGACTAGAGTATCTTGCTTCCCCAGAATCCTAGGTTGGAGAAGACAAACAGCTCTTTATCAGAAGAGACTGAGGCAAAAGGGAGAAATGCCTTGGTTTAAATTACTTGTTTAATCATAATAAACCTACGAATACTCATCTACATTTGATTAGCCAAAAGGCTAAGAAGCGATGCCCAACACTCATCTAAATTCATATTATCCCTTTAAAAATAGTCATCTCAGGAATCTCTTCACTTTGTTAACCATATTGTCATTGGTCAGAACCTTTAGAGGACTCTTCTCTGAGAAATATCGTGCCAAACACAGTGAATGACATTATAATTGCTTATGATACTTGTTATATGAATGGAAAGAAAAAACAAGTTATCTTTAGAAAATAAAATGGATTCTTATTATTATCTTAGAGGGTGACAAATCTTTTTTCTTTAAGAGTAGACTTCACTGGAGAAAAATCAAGTCATGTGGAATTAATCTAAGTAACCCAATACTTTTAGGAACAAGGTCATAGAGTAGAGTAGATAACACTCAATGGTAGACTTGCAGGGGATGATGCTACAATTCAGATATTTGCTTTTACTGTATGACAGTGTTCTTCAAAGGGATGAAAAGAGGAAACAGGAATTCATACCATTGCCACTTTTTGGTCCTGTTGACTTCCCTTAGGGTCTTAGCTTTGCCTTAGCCACAGTGTTTGCCTGGCACAGTCCAATTCTCTTCATTTTGGTTGTTAATGCAGACATTTTTCACCCACTGGCCAAGGTAATAGCTATGTGGTCATCTCTGGGCAGGGAGGGATTTGGGAGGTCAAGTAAGTTAACCCTAGTAAGTCAAGAAAATTGATTCAATGTATGATGTAAGGGTAGAAGGCCAGTAATTAGTCCCTAAGAGAGCTCTCTTGAGAGTGAATAAGAGATGGAGGTGTGTTCAGAGTGTCGAAAGGGAATCTTCAACTGTCTAGACTGAGCATTGAACCAGCGTTAGGAGGGTAGCCTGATGTAGCAGGGCATTGCTATAGGGATTAGCAAGAAAAATGAGTTATAAGCCCCATTTCAAATCAATTACTTCTTATTTAGTATAAAAGTCCATGAAGATCACTGGGAAATCATTGTATGTATTACTTTTTCATTTAATTGGTTTTTAGCTCAAGTGTTAAATTGCTAAATCTTACTTTCCTTCCTGACTTTGCATACACATGAATTGTTTCTGACTCTTTAGTTGCTGAAACTAATATAACATCAGTGGAAGAACTGGCCAAGAAGATGGAATCTGTAAAGTCTTGTCTTTCTCCAAAAGAGAAGGAACAAGTTATAGCAACACCACAAATAACCAAAGCAGAACAAGATAATCATCCTGGTATCAAATTACAGATTGCTCCAATCCCTAGGTAAGCAAACCCTAAAGCAGGCTTTGTGTTCACAGACTTGATTCTAGTCCAGTTCTCAGTTTCTCCTTCACAGATCCAGAGTAGCAGCAGTTTATAGATAACTTCTGCTTCGTATGTGGTCCAGGCGGCCTCGTCCATCTTTGGCATTTAGGAAGGAGCTGAGGGTGAGGGGAGGTTGGAACTATTGACAGGAAGGTCCGTGTCTTCTCTCTACACACACATCAGCCCCCTCCCACCACCCATGATGAGACCTGACCTGCAGAGAGGAAAGTGCTGCCAGAGTCAGGAGGGATATTGGAATGGATTTACCCCCTCCCTCCTGGAATCAGTCCTCCCTCTTAGCTCCCATGTGCTCTGCACCTGCAGATCCCTGCTGCCTTTCCTGTGAACCCTGGCACAAATGGGGTGAGGGGCACAAAACCCCCAGCAGGGCAAACTAGCCATAGGAGAGAAGGGGGTGGTGAATAGCCCTATAAGAACAGGGAGGGAAATTGACTACGTACCAGTCAGAGACTGCTCATAATATCAGAAGCATTTTGTTTTTTAACAAGAATAAGTTTAAGGCAGAATCCATAGTAATTTTAGGAGCTGTATCAGGATATCAATGTCATTTTCTAAAATGTTAGTGTAGCATCATTCTTCTCTGTTCATGATCTAGAAAGGAAAATTCCAAACAAGAGCACCAGGATAATAGTTCTGTATTTCAGTTCCCTGGAAAGCACAGCTGGGCCTCTGCCAATCCTGATCTCCTCTCCCAGACATACCATTTCCCCATTGCAGTAGCTCATGGGTAGGTGAAAACAGGCATTTATCTGAAAACAACCTCTTAATGGCTCTAGAATTTATTATGAGAGCTTATTAGCAGACCTGCCTGCTAATTTTACTCAGGCTAATGTAATCAGTGGTTTTGTGGATTGTAGGCCGATTCACTACATGGAACAATCTCTGCATCCTGTCCTCCAGGCTACTTTTTATTGAAACTCCAGCATTTACAGTTTTAGAAGGAAGATGCCCAATTTGTGCCAGTTTCAACTGTGGTTTGGTATGCCATCTTAAAAGATGCTTTTTGAATAATTTATCAAAGCTAGAAAGAATCTTGGAATTTATCATCAGTTCCAAACAAACTTGGGATTAGGCCCAATTTCCTTAAAACATGTCAACTCCTTTGAAAGTTTATAGATTAAACAAACACCGACTACCAAGTAAGTTAACTTCAGACAAAAACCACATTTCACACTTCATTCAGTAAATCCCTGTGGTTACACTATCCAGGAGCAGGTGGACACCACCCAGTACGTTCTGGAAATCAGGGAAAAGCCATCTTAAGAGCTACTTTGGACATATCTCTTGTTATCAACCTACTTTGAAATGTCTCTTATGTTTCATTATGGAATAAAAAACAAAAAATAATAAAAAGAATTTTTTTTAAGTTATAAGGTTTTGACTGTATCTCTTGCTGTCTCTCAGAATAAATGGAATGCCAGAAGTGCAAGACATGAAGCTTATCACTCCTGTTCGGCGGTCAGCAAGAATCGAGCGAGCGGTGTCCCGCTACCCAGAAATGCTGCAGGAACATGATTTAGTAGTGGCTTCTCTTGATGAACTATTAGAAGTGGAAGAAACAGAGTGTTTTATATTCCGTAGAAATGAGGCTTTGCCTGTAACATTAGGGTTTCAAATCCTTGAATCATAATTTCTTAAAGCTTTTTTTAAAAAAAAAAAGGTGTTTCACAGCCTCCATGAGACAAGAAATTTTATTGTCCGAGTGACCTGGAAAAATGTATGTAATAGAGAGGCATCATGGATGCAGAATATGGACTCTCAGAACTTAGGAAGTAATTCACTGGGCTTACTCTCAAATCTTACATCCCCATGGGAAAGTCTTTGGTTTATATGTTTAAGACCACAGTTTGCCTCAGTTTTATAGTATACATAAACTTCAAACTTCTGAATATTAATTTATCCCACAACTATGATAAAACTTTGCATTTTATTGGTCTACTTTAATCCCTGCATAGTTATTTTTTATAAACAGAAGGTTGGTCCCGCAATATGATGAACTTTCTTTTCTGTATCCACGTAAGCAGAGAGAGCAAGACCTTACAGCATGGAAAATCCGAGCTTCGAAACTAGCTTTCCAGGCTCAGTGAAACTTGACAGACAGCCAGATCAAATCCTCTTGTTTTACAGATGAGGTTATACTGGCTATGCCATTGCTCAGAGGTCACAAATGACATGTTGATCTTTGCCTTCTACCACCATATCCTTGTAAATGAGGGATAATTCTTATCCTTTCTGTGCTAGGTCTCCTTAAATGAAGCACAATCCTGAATTAGGGTGGTCATCTAGCTTTTTATATCCAAACCTAATTTTGCATTTGTTATTCAGAAACACTTCAAGTAAAAACAAAAGGGGGGGAGAGGTGTGGGAAGGGGACACTCGCTTCAATTCTTTCCTCTGCTAGGGGTAGCTGGCCTGAGAAGGCAATGTGAGTCCCAGAGACTATAATAAGTTGCTTTTCCTTCCTCCTGGGCAACTGCTCTTGGAAAGGTAAAATCAGAGTCATTATGTAAATATAATGTGTAGAAAAACCTAGTTAACACATTTTAAATTCTAGCTTTCTTAATATTTATCTAAAATTAAAAAAAAGTTTCTGTTCATTCCAGCTTATTCGTTTATCTTTTTTGTTATAGAAAACAGTGATGATGGCTTGGCATAGCAAACCAGGGGTTTGTCTGAGGAAACACCAATAGGCTATCTCAAGAGGCCTCACGGGGAGCAGTCATAGAATTTCCTTTGATCAAGGGTCTATCAGCCCCACCTAGGAACTGAATTTTTTCACTGTAAAGGAAGCAGATCTATTTCTCAAGGTCAGATTTATAATAACAAGGTTCATAAAACTGAGCTATACAACTGTAATTTCAGCAGACTTTTAATAAGAAATAGACTCTTACAAGTCATAGCAAAAAACCAAATAACCCAATTAAAAAATGGACAAAGGACCTGAACAGACATTTCTCCAAAGAAGACATAAAAATGACCAACAAGTATATCAAAAGGTGTTCAACATCACTAATCATAAAGGAAATGCAAATTAAAACCACTATAAGATACCACCTCATATCCATAAAGATGGATATTATCAAAAAGATTAGATAAATGGTGAGGGTATGGGGAAAAGGGAACCGTAGTACACTGTTAGTGGGAATGTAGATTGGTACAGCCATTGTGGAAAACAGTATGGAGGTTCCTAAGGAAATTAAAAATATGACCCAGCAATCCCTCTTCTGAGTATATGCCCAAAGAAGATGAAATCTCCACCTCATAAAGATATCTCCACTCCCACGTTTATTGCAGCATTCACAATAGCCAAGATATGGAAACAACCTAAATGCCCATCAATGGATAAAGAAAAGGTGATAAACATACACACACTGCAATGTTATCCTTTGAAAAAGAGATTCTGCCATTTGCCACAACATGGATGGACCTGGAGGACATTATGCTAAGTGAGATAAGCCAGACATAGAAAAATATTACATCATCTCATATGTGGATGTAAAAGAAGTAGATCTATTTCTCAAGGTCACATTTATAATAAAAATTTTAAAAAACTCAACACATAGAGGAAACTGGTTACCACAGATGGAGGAAGAGGAATGTAGGTCAAAGGATACAAAATAGCAGAAATGTGGGATGAACAAGCCTAGAGATCTACTGTACAACATGAGCACTAAAGTTAATAAAATTATATTGCCTGACGGAGTTTTGTTAAATAAGTAGATTTTAGCTGCTCTTGTCACCAAAAAAAAAAAAAACCTATGTAAGATGATGGATATGTTAATCTGCTTTACTACAGTAACCATTTTACTATCTATATGTATCCCATAACATACTGTAAACCTCAAATATATCCAATAAAACTTATTTTTTAAAAAGAGATTGTCGCCACAACCAAAATGCAGGATTCCACATGGCCGGTCCTTTCCTTCCCTTTACCCATGAAGCCAAATAATTCTCAGAGGGTTGCTTAGTGATTACAAAATCTGAACATGGGACTTAGATGAGTCAAATATTCAAAATCTCCAAGCTAAGAGATTCTGAAGCAAATCCTTCCACGTTAGGAAAAGCCTCAGATCTCAGGCACTCTGTCCTTAGTCCTTTGACCAGGTCCTCATGATTGATCCTGCACTACCATCCTCTGCTTGTGCATTTACGTTTTCTTTGGTTTCTAGGATGGTTCATCCTTGCTACTTAATGCCTCCTCTCCCCCTCAGGCCTGGGAGTCAGTTGTCTCTCTGGTGGTTTTACGTATCTGTCAAAACCATCGTCTTGATATTACAGTTTAGTTCTCAAAAGAGTAGTTTTATTTCCTTTATTGCCAGTTCCTTGCAGGACGTCTCACAGGACCACCCTGGGTACTAACTGTAGGTTGAACTATTGGTATCTAAGAATGGATAAATTTCAAAATGACAAATTGGAGATTTTGAAAAGCCTGATCAGACTATAGATAGTCTTCTAGGCACAAAAGATGTGGAAATGATTGTTGATGCTACAGCAACTGCAGAAAACTACACCCTGATTCTGGGACTTTTTGTAGATACTCAATAGCTCTCGTTTAGTAAATAGTTGTTCCTAGACATAGGGAGGACAAGTGGGAAGGAAAAAAGGCAGTCCCTTAATCACTTGGGAAAAACGTTCATAGGGAATTGTAATGGAAATATGGGCCTGTGCAGAAATCAAGTCTAATATTGCATAAGCACACCTTTTTAGAGGAGGTAAATGTGAAGTGAGTTTTAAAGGAAGATAAATAAGTTTTAAAGGAAGATAATATGGCATCACTGTTGAGAATGATCACAAACCAGAAGACATGGAGGAGAGGCGTGACAGTTCACATTTATTTGTGCTTACTCTATGCCAGGTACTCTGTTGAGGCTTTTACATGCCATAAAAGACAGTTTTTGCCTGCCTGGCGTGTGTGTACTCCCTCTTCTAATAAAAGCACCCCATTTTCCCTGCTACCACCTCTTTTCCACTCACAGTCCAGGAGGTGGTTTGAGAGGAAGGGATTCCACCCCGGGGTGAGGACATGACCCAGGCCTGGCCAACCACAGCCCGGCATCTCTGGCCAGTGGCATTGATTGCAGGATGAGGTCTTATCTCAGTAAGAGCCAGTGAGACTCCATTTCCCAGACTTTTGTTGGAAAGAGACTTTTCCTGGTGGAGTTGTTGAAAAGATAAGATAGAAATCTGGAGCTTGGGGGCATCTGTCTTACAACCACATGGACAAAATCTGCCAGAGAATAGTATCAACAAGGACTAACCTGGAGAGCTGGAGAGAGCAAGGTTATGTCCAATGACATCGATTTGACCCCCTGGCTAACACAGCCTGCGGCTGTTCTAGCCCTGGACTTTTTAGTTATATGAGCCAATAAATTCCCTTTTCTCTTAAACCAGTTTTATTAGGTTTCTGTCTGTTGCTAATGAAAAAGTCCTGACTAATGTACACACACAAACTTAGTAAACTCTTACTTAGAGCTTATTCTGGCCAAGCTCAAATTTCACCACATCCTCACCATGGCTTTCTGACATATTAATAGATATGGAAACAAAGTAGTTAAACAGTAAGCGACAGGCCTGCAATTTCAAACTTAGGGCTGTCTGGCTCCAGGTCCTGAGCTTTTAACTCCTGTCTCTGTTTAAAGCAGGGAAATGACGGATAATGAGGAAAGAGCAAATCTGAGAGAAAGAAATTCTTGAACCCTTCCCAAGCTACCAAGTAGGAATCACTGTGATAGTCAAAGTTACTGTCATTTATTCTGCAAATAAATGATCACATTTTTACCATAGTTCACTACCCCAAGGATGCTGCTTCTGCGCTCATTTCCTGACTGCTCAAGACTCCATGCCAGAATCAGGATATCGATTCAGCTGCTGTAACTAGACTCAAATGGAAATGCCTCTCTCCCTCACATCAGCAGTCCAAGTGACAGTCCAGTGCTAATATGGTGCCAGGCCCAGGCCACATCTGTCTTGTGACTCAGCCAGCCCTCGGGTGCAGCTTCGTCCATGTGGCCAAGGACAGCTCCCAGCCCACGTTGCTCTCCAGACAGTGGGAAAGAGGAAGAGAAGGGGGAGGCAGCCTCTCCTCCTAAGGTCACAACTTGGAAGTTGGATGCATTACCTCTGTCCAGGACGGAGGGGCTAGAACTTGATCACATGTCCCCACCCATCTTCAAGGAAAGCTGGGAAATGTCTATCAGGTGGCCACATGCCCAGCTGAAAATTCTTCCAGAAATGGCTGATGATCATCAGTATCTGCACACACAGTCTTAGGAGTAATGGTGTATCTCTCTAAGGTGTAAATAAACTGGAGTATAGAGGTGACATCAGGTTTAAAAAAAAAAAAAACCTGCATCAAATTAATAGTCCCCGAATAGAAGTATCTGTCCTACCCTACCCAGACAAGTTCCTGAGAGTTTAGGAGAGTTAAGCCACGCTTTGTAGGCTTTCTCCCCTTCCTCTCATCTCATGTCCTTTGCCCCACCTTTTCCCCTGAAGTTCTACGAGCAGCACCAGAGTAATAATAAACTGGGTGACAATAAAATATATAGGACACTGTAGATGGCAGAGAAACGATGAGCCAGAAGGACCTGACCCCATGGAGCACACGTTAATGTAAGAATCACAAAT